CGATATTTTCATGACCGACGTGCACTAAACGCTCATCTCACGCGCATGCATGCCCCAACGCGCAACCTTCGAGACACTACCGCGAACGGATTGAGTAAGTCTCTAATTTTTGAGGAATCACCCCAAGTGGCAATTAGAAGACGCTGTCGGGATGCACTTTAACACAAAATGCGGAATATCAATCACTGGTAGACACGCCCGTTGGCCAATCCACATAAAAAATGACAAGCTAGTACACAGAGTGTGTAATAGGGGTTGGTTGTTAGAAAATTATGATTTTTGGCCATATCTGCTGCTCTCTCACCTATTTGCTTTTACACAAATTCTGGCAATGTTTCTGTCCGAATTTTCGTACTACTTGCCTCTGTTTTAACGATAGGATTGTGCCAGAATCTGCATCAGTTCTCATTGAACTGGTTCACGCTTTACATTTGCTATTTTGCATAATCAGAACCCATTGTGATTTTTTTGAATGTACGATTTGCGGACATTTCAGTTGTAGTGTTAAAAATCAGTTTGGCCTGAATGTCTATTATGGTTCATTCGTTGCGCTTTCTCGGTTGTGCTGATGGCACGGTGTCTGAGCCGTTTGGTAAATTAAAGCGAAACGACTGTGTTGTCAAAAGAGATTAATATTATTTCACAAATGATCGCCTAGTTCTTCAGACTAAACTGATGTTAATAACGTGGAGTGCGTGTAAACACTACCGTAAAAACTGGACACGTATCAAGTTCTTTTGTAAACTAAAAGTAAAAAAACGAATGGTTCAGATTTAATCGCGCATTTAAAGCTGTCCCCCACCAGAGTATGCGTTCTTCGGGCTACTCTTAGTCGACATGAATTCTTCACTAATACATGTCTTTACGTCTGTGGGTAGCGCTAGAAGGAAAATTTATACGACGTCAGCTACTGCGTCCAATCTCATCTTCAATCGATCTAACACGGAGGGTCAAGTGAACCGTGAGTGGGGAATGGGGAGTGCCCTTTGTTCAGAGAATATCAAGTATTCAGGCCCCTCACTACAAACATATGAACGTGGATATAGTCCCCACGAGGTGCTAAAAGACGTGGTTGTCAAAACTGATAACTTACGGAACATCTGGATCGTCCTTCAAATTGAGGACCTCTATGTTAATTGCCAAGACTTGCTCTCCTGAAGACTGTGTGTATGCAGACGTGAATACAGAACAGACAAATGTGTCACTGGTAGGGGGCGCTCACCGATCGTTCACACGGAACTCACTCGTTCCGTTGTGCCTTAAGGGCTAACAATGTGTCACTACATCTCTAGTGTTTCAAAAAATGCTAGCTCTCCACGAAGTAGAAGAACAGTATCTGCAAAATGCTGAACTAAATTATCTCAACAAAGTTCTGCGTCCAAAAAAACAAGAGCGATAAGCAAATGTTTGCCGTAATAGGGTTACTACCAGTGTCTTCGAGTAAGGGCAGTCCACGCAAAGAAGAAATTGCCATCTTTGGGGATGGCTGATCAAAATCAAACCAGTCGAAATTTATCGGGAATTCTTTAGCATAAACAGCAGCTAATCTCATGAACTGACTTAAGACCTGGCTTCGTACCAACCGACATCACTAATTACTCCCAAGAATCGTCGACATATTCATGTGTGAATCGCCACTGCTCTCAGTTAAAAGATATATTTTTACATTCCCACATGTC